AAAAGAATCTCTATTTTGCATTATTGTGGTACAAAAAGATAATGGCAACAAAAATATTGGTTTTTTGGGGAAGGGATTCAATGAAACCTTTGAACCTAGCTGCTGCTCCCTCAATGAAATCTCTTTGGCTGGCCCCTCAACTGAAACCCCAAACGGTGCTCTCTGCATAAGTCTCTTTATGGCTGAGATGGCATTTAAGAAACAGCAGAAGCAGAAGCAGAAGACAGCTGCTCATCTGCTTTTCTCCTATCTGAATAAAATCCACGATTTTCAAGAACCACGTGAAACTTGCAATGCAGCTCCCAATGGATACCAGCTCCCATGGAGTTACTGTGACCACTGTGGCCTTTTTGTTTTCATATAGAGTACCATTTCCTGGCAAGCTGGCACTTAATTAGTGTCAGTACAATATTCTGTGACATGCCTTTCTGTGTTTTTCTCCAGGCCCATGTGAAGCAAGGCTTTAAGGAAACAGATGTTGGGAGGTTTTCAAAAATTAAGCAATTCCCCCTTTTCTTCTCTGAAGTGATGCATTTGAAAGCAAACGTGCATATACAATATTATGAACTATAACCAGATGCAGAAACATCTGAAGCAAATTAGCGTACCGTTGGTGGTGCCACCACTTGAGGACAGCTTGCTTGTACCCTGGGAGAATTTAAAAGTTATTACTTATGGCCTTAGTTTTTAACCTGACATATTAGCTTTCCTCATGGAGACAGACTTAGGGAGAGGAGTACCTCCAAATAACTGATTCTATTCATGAGGTAGAAAATCGTACTGTATGTTTACTACTAGGGGAAGAACTTCACATAGCACTTGACATGGGGTGGCTGCTAAACATGGCATCCCTGATTAAATCCCTATCTCAAAGTAGGCTCACATAATCCACAGTGCAATGGCATCACAATGTGCATTTCCCCACCCTTGCTGCATTTTTTTGGGCTTTTGGAAGGGGAAACACACAATGTGATGACTTATCTGATTGGTGACTGGCAGCTGTAATGTAACAGAAAGAGATATGACTATAGGCTCCCAGCTCTGTCATCTGAGTAGTATGCAGTAATGAAGGCAAAAGGAAAATGGCCGTGTGTGCGTGTGTGTGCGTGCGTGTGCCTGTGTGCCCGGAAACAATTAGTCACAGCCACTGTTTTGATTGTAATCAAACTATTAGTTGCTTAATCACACTAATTATTCAATTAATTATGTTAGACCTATTGTTAAGCATTTTAACTACAGCCACACAGATGCTGCTTGACTAGATCCTAAGCATGCTGCTACTGTAGTCACACATCCCCAGATGAAGGCTTTTCTTAACCCATTCTGTTGCATGTTTTAATATGCCCCCCCCCCAAGAAATGGCTGCTGTAGTTATCAAAGTAGTTCTAGGTGTTTTATTTATTTATGGAATTTACATCCTGCCTTTTGGCATTCAGCCCTCAAGGTGGCTCCTGTCACCCCTATGTACGCCCATCTTTTTCTGAACACCATTAAATTCCTTCTTAGCTGTAGTAATAAGTACTGATGCTTTGTTTGTATGTCAATGTAGTTCATGGGTCTTTCATCTTTTTAGCAGGGCTTCTGTGATTGTGACTGCAGCACAACAGGTAGAAATCCAACAAATAATATTCCCCCAAGCCTAGAGATGCAGCGATGAGAAGAATTTCACCTGTTCAAAATGGGTGCGCACGCGTCAATTGAGAGTTCTGTCTGCCAAACCACACTATACCGAGGGGGAAACTCATTTTTTAAACAAGGTAATTCCAAAGTTTAGAAATCCAGTCATATTCCCGATGATGCCATTAGCAGTGCAACCGAGGTTATGAATCCCCCTTTCCTTCTACTGGAAAAAAATGGGTAGCAGTGCCAGTTTTCGGAAGCAGCTCACTTGGTTTTTCAGTGCCTGAGCAGATGGCCAGCACACACAATGAAAAATATGATAAACCCGATTTAGTCCAGGTGCCCCATCAAAAGGTACCAGAACTGCAAACTTGATCGGAGGCAGGGTGGTGTAGTTAGAGTGATGAACTACAACTGGGGCAACCTGGGTTCAAATCTCCACTTTGCCCAAAATTCACTGACAAAACTGGAAGAGTCCTGTGAAGCAGAACAAGCCCAGCATGACCAAGGCACCATGGCTATTATGCTGCATGTTTTGATCCAATCCAGTGCTTCAAGTGACAGCCTAGGCCAGTGACATTCACCCAGTGAGTGACTTGGTGGCCACATGTGGCTCTTCTGATCTCTCATGTTTTAGGAAAATGGGCAAGGACACTGCCCGGTTGAGCTCGTTGTTGGCAGGTAGTTTGAATGTTGAAACAGCTGCTGCCAGGGAGACTGGAGGACAGGGGAGCTCCTGGAAATGCAAGCCTCATGCTAGGGATGGAAGTTGAAAGGCCAATATTCTCCAGCACCCCTGTACCTTTTCCCATACCCTCAGCATTCTCATCCCAGCACCAAGCAGCAGTTGGTAGGATAGCAAGCTGCCTACATGGAGACTTCCCTCCCCATCCTGTCAAAATTGTATAAGAATCAACTTCTGTTTTCTATTGTGCTACTGAGCTCCCTTCCCCATGCCAATTTTCACATGTGCTAGCTCTCTCGGTTGTGTCCTATCCATGGGCCCCTGGATTCTGACATGCTGATCACACCTAGCCTCAGCCCTCATGTTTGCCCCTCTTTGGATTTAGTGCCTAGAATCACAACTTGCCCTCCTTCTCAGCCAAATGCCCTTTCTAGCATCCAGCAGCAGTTGGTAGGATAGCAAGCTGCCTACAGAGAGACGTCCCTCCCCATCCAGTCAAAAGCTTAGGCTTCCAAGCTGTTTTCCTTTCTAAGCCTGCTTTGGAGTGTCACCACTTTCCTTTCAGCCCCAGACTTCTGGGTATAGCAGTATTCCTTCCCCCTTGCTGGAGCCTGAAGCGAAGTCCAATTCTTGTGGACCAGGGACATTAGAAGTGTTGTCCCAGGCACATACGAGAACAACTGCTCCGCTAGCAGACTGACTGGGTGGAACTCTGTTTGGCAGGAAATCCAGGACCCAGCTTCTTATTTATTTTGTGCAGGGCTTTTTTTTCTGGGGGAGCATGCCAGAATGGAGTTCTGGAACCTCTTTGATAAAATTCTTTTTAAAATGTTTCACTTTGCTCCCCAATGGGAACCCAAAGCACTTTACAACACTGTCCACTCATCCTCCATTGTACCCTCAACACAACAATCATGTGAGGCAGATTAGGCTGAGAATGAGTGACTGACCCAAGGTCACCCAGCAAGCTCCCATGGCAGAGGGGGGACTCAAATCTGGGTCTCTGAGATCCTAGTTCAACACTAACCACTGCACCATGCTGGACCGGGGGAACGATATCAAAAAGAGGTATGGTTCACAGCTCTTGTATTAAAGCGTTTGTCACTCTGCTCCAGAGTGCATTCATAGCAGCTTTCCTCCCTAAAATAGGTAACTTCAATTTTGGATTTGGGCAGAAACTGCCTAACCAGCATACTCTTATAATCAAGATTCCTCAAACTTCTTTTAATTAACAACAGAAACTGCCTAAGAGCCAGCAAACTCATGCATTTCTACCCAAAAACCTGCTGGCTGAAGCAGGGGGCCTAATTTAAAGACACTTTCCTTGAGATACTTTTGAACACTGTCCATCAAGTCTGGGGAGGAGAACACAGCTATAGCCAAGCAGCTTTGTAATAAACAGACCCACAGGTGTGTGTGTGGGGGTGTGTGCATGTCCAAAACTGGTGGCCCTGGGAGCAGCTTTTCTAGAATTCAGACTATTCTTCTTGGAAGTTGTGAAAGGGCAGGTCATGGATATTCAGTGGGCCTCTGAAGCTGCAAGGGAGGCTGTTCCGCACAACCTGGAGAATGAGATCTATATCCTTCAAGGCCTCCTCCCATATAGCCTCATACAATTTTTCTTTTCTTTTATGGTTTGGGGACCAATAAAACTGTAAGACCTGAGTGGCTTACATTTGAGGAGTTCATGCATTCTTCTTTGCTGACAACTGCAGCTGATCTCAGATCTCAATCCATGGAGCCAAGCTTGGAGAGACCCACTTCAACCCTTCTGTTCAAGCTGGGATCTTCCTGGCTTGTGCAGGTGGCCTGCAGGGGCACCATCTGTTTGCCCTGACTCTTTTCTGCCATCACTTGCATCTTTCAAGGACTGCCACATCACATTGCATGAGACTGCAGGGGTGGGGGGAGGGTACTGGCTTATTGGTATGTATGAGTGGTCTACTAGGGGGAACCAACTTCCCCAAAAGATACGACACACATACAGCCCCCACCAAGCTTCCAATTATTCATCAATAAATGCAACTGAACAGAATGATAAAGACCTCCCTTTGTTTTTGCTTCTGACTGGGAAGAAAGCAGCCAACGAATCAATAAACTCAAAGGGATTGTTTGTTACTAGACAGGCATCCTTTACTTAAAATCCACTGCAGAGTTTGAAGTTGGGTTTTTCTAAATAAAGGCCTTACAGCCTACAGGGAGAGGGATGAGTCCTGTGCTAATTAGTGCTGGTACACCAGGGACAAACAGGCCCATCTACAGGGGAAATTTGTTTTGGAAACTGACTGGATCAGCTAACATTCCAAGCCCCAAAAGAGGATCCCAGTACCCAAGAAGACATTATTCTTTCTAACTCTCTAAAACAACAATAGCTCACTGGAAATATAATGCAATTTTTAAAAATCAGTATTACTGCAATAATTCTTACACCAGGTAAGTTATTATCTTGGTACTGTACTGGGGTGGGGGCGAGGGCCTAATACAAACTGTGCTCACATAGATCACAGTTTTCACAAAACATTAACCCTCCAAAACATGCACTGTATCCCAGACTAGAATGCTGGGATTTCTGAGAATTCTCTTTCCATGGGCCTTGCTTTTCGGACTATAACAGCTGAGAACGTGACTGCGTCTGCCTGACATGGGCCAAAGGGCACCCCAACCACAGAGGGTAGCTGGACCCTCGCACACTCACCAGGCAGTTCATGATTTCCACTCCATTTGGATTAACCGTTAGTGCTTCATTGTACAATTGCTTAGCCTCCTCCAAGCTGCCGTTCATCTCTGCAAGCCTCCCACGCATGTACAGCACAGTGTGAGATGTGGGAAAGAGACTGGCTGCCTCCTGGATACAGAAGCCCGCTTCTTTGAGATGCTGTTGTTCCATGAACAGTTCAGCTACCAAAAAAAAAGAAAAAGCAATTTATTTTAATGTGTTCCTAATCTTTATTCTGGCAAGTGCAACTGAGAAACATTGAGAGTGTTAGTAGCTGAAGACTGTGATGTTGTGCAACAAGTAAAACGTACCTGTTTATGACATAATCATGAGTTTTTTGGAGTTTTAGGAATTGCATATTTAAGGTCTTCTAATAGGGGTTTACTTATTGGCCATACAATAAATCTGTTGCTTGCTTCACTGAAGAAGAAGAGGAGGAGGAGGAGGAGATTGGGTTTATACCCTGCCCTTCATTACCCGAAGGAGTCTCAGAGTGGCTTACAATCTCCTTCCCCTTCCTCTTCCCCTCCCCACAACAGACACCCTGTGAGGTAGGTGGGGCTGAGAGCTCATGAGAACTGCTCATGAGAGAACAGCTCTGAAATAATGTGTAACTGACCCTAGGTCACACCAGCAGTGACAGCCACCCATTGTACCCTAGGCTGGGTGGTTGCCCCATTTTCTCTGTTCCCTCACACAACTTCACACCCAGCTCTCTTCTCTGCTTTGCTGTCATTTCCTCTCTGGCCTACAGAAAAAGTACCCTGGAGGCATCAGCCTCAACCTCTTCTGCTTGTACTTTAAATGCTTTCCTATGTCAGGTTCCACAGCCAACAACTAAGTACACACTTATCAAAAAGGTTATACTTTATTGCAGAGCTATAGATGCATTAACAAAGTCTCTGCCGTGGATTCTGGGTTGAATTGGCTCCACCTGGAGCTCGGTCGGTACCCCTGGCCGGGTGGCTGCCACAGTCCTGAAGGGGTCAGGAACAAATGGGTCGACGTCGTCTTTGGGACTGCTCCCTTCCCAGCGGCAGTCACCGGAGGTGTGGTAGTCACTGGTGCCTTCACCTGGGTCATGGGAGTCTCCCCCCGAGACGTGGTGGGGACCGGGATCCCCCCCCTTGGAGGGAACCTGTTTCTCCTCTTCGGAGGGGACCTGTTTCTCCTCTTCGTCGCTCATCTCAGATAGAGAGAGGCGCGCAGATAGAGAATGAGGGATTCATAACAGAATGTCAGGTTCCACAGTCAACAACTGAGTACACGCTTCTCAGAAAGGTTATACTTTATTGCAGAGCTATGGATGCATTAACAAAGTCACTGTTAGGAATGGTGTCGCCCCTGCAAGCATAATGGGATATAGGGGATTCGTATGCACTCCCCCTCCTTAGGCCAATTGGCCACATTCCCGTGCACGGGAGAAGGAGCCCCAGGCCGTTAGGGCCGAAGCTGAGAACCGAAAGTGCTCCCATGGTTCCCCTGAATCCCAGACACTACACACCACCTGCAAGGCTATAGATAAGCAAGCATTACAGAAGCCAAGAAGGAATGCAGCGTACTTGTTACACAGGCAAGTGAATACCCCACCTGACATCCTGTCACACCTGGGTCACAGGCAATGCTCCCTCTAAACTGTGGCGTCTCATGAGCAAAAATTCTACTTTGTAAGCAAATGGCATGAAAGTTGTGAACAAGCAATTTGGCTACTGCATAAATTAGTTTGCTCTGGAGCCATCCTTCGTGAGCGAAGACAAAAATGTGTGAGCCGGAGGCTAAAAAACTGTGAGCTGGCTCACACTAACTCAGCTTAGAGGGAACATTGGTCACAGGTAGGGTTGCCATCCTTCAAGTGGGGCCTGGACTTCTCCCAGAATTACAAGTGATCTCTCGACTGCAGGGATCGGTTCCTCTGAGGCAAATGGTAGTTGTGGAGAGTAGATTCTATGGAATCACATCCCCGCTGAGCTCCCTCCTCTCCCCAGCCTCTACCTCCGAAATCTTCAGAAATTTCTCAAGCCAGAGGTGGCAGCCCTAGTCACAGGGCTTTGTGTCCATGGCCCAGCAACAGGGGTGGGGCCACCTGGGTGGCATTTCTAGGGCCACTGTTCTTACTACTCCTCATTGTTTGGGTTACAAAGACACTCAGCCATTCCTCACAACTTTCCAGGTGGTTCCACTGTTAAAGAAACCAAGTGATACATAGCCAGGCATCCTCATTCCCTATGGCTACTTCTCCCACTGCCTATGTACTGTGGCTAGAAAGTAAATCATCTGGAGATCCCAGGCAGAAGCTGCCTTATGCTCGTTATTCAGCCAGGCTAGGAGCAGCCTCCAAGGTCTTAGGCAGGGGTCCCTGGCGTCTGAGATCATTCCCCTTTTTACTAGAAATGATAGGGACTGAACATAGAAACGCATGCATGTGAAGCATTTAGCCTATTACTACGAGCTATGAGCTCTAAGACTGAAAAGGCAGCAGAATATATTTAGCAACAAAAATGTCACAAATGCAGAATTAAGGTGAAAACACTTCTCACACACAAAGCTACATAACGTCATGAAGAACAAAACAAGCCAACTCTGCAAAATGGAACACACTGTTAACGTTTAGCACTTTCCCTACATTCTTGAAACCTTGCCGACCTTAGCTCCATAATCCACACAATCCTGTAAAATAGGTCATTGTCAGAGCTGGCAGTCTGGAGGCAAGCTGACACTAAGCAGGCTCTGGAGCCACAAAGCAGGCAGACAGTCAAGAGCAGTTCTGGCTGTATTTATGCAATAAGCTGCACAGACCAAGAAGCCAGGCATGTCAGAAGCTTTGTTGTGCCAGGTGGAACTCTGTTGCCTCCCATGTGTCACTGGACCCCTGTTGAGCTGGTAGCTGCAATACTACATTATCACCATTTGCAGGGGTGGTGGAGGAAAGTGCCATCAAGTCACAGCTTACTCATGGCAAGAGATGATCAGAGGTGATTGCCATTGCCTGCCTCTGCGTAGCAACCTTGAACTTCCTTGGTGGTCTTCCATCCAAGCATTAACCTGCCTAGCTTCTGAGATCTGATGAGATCAGGCCAGCTAGAGCTATCCAGGTCAGGGCATCATTTCCTGTGGTGTTAAAATGGCACAGGCCACCTGCTATCCCTTTTTTGGTAAGCTCAGATGGGGGGACAGGCAATAGGGTTAAGGGAAGAAGATAAACTATGAAGGATTAGACCAACGTTCCATTCAGACCAGCATCCTGTTTCACACAGTGATCAACCATTTGTCCTTGAAGGACAACAGACCAGGCATGGAGGTCCAAGGCCTTCTCTTGAAGTTGCTTCCTAACACTGGTATTCAGAGGTCTACTGCCTCTGGATGTGGAGATTCCCTTTATTCACCATGCCAACAGCCACTGATGGACCTCTTTTCCAGTTTCCTGAACTATGCTGCCAAAAATTTGTTTGAGATGCTGCAATCACACACACTAAATAATCCACTTTCAATCCACTTTCCAACTGGATTTTACTGTGTGAACTGGCAAAATCCAGTTGGAAAGTGCACTGAAAGTAGATTGAAAGTGGATTTAGTGTGTGTGACTGCAGCCCTAGTCCCTCATCCCATATCATCCCACAGAGCTTGACGGAAGTCTTTCTGATTTCAGAAGTCTGTATGCAAGTGCCTAGGCAAGATGGAGTTTGTTTCCTCCTCGCAAGAACTGTAGACAGGACACAAATTCCAATTCAGGAATCTGCATTTGGACATCGTGTAGACAGGACACAAATTCCAATTCAGGTATCTACATTTGGACAAGGGATATATGGCAATAAGCTGGGTTTCTGCCTGTCATGAACAAACAGGTTTATTTGTGACGTCTGAATGCAACCTGTCAGGACTCAGAACCGTAGCTGGAGAGAAAGAAGCAGCATGCTGCTGTGTGACCTCAAAGTACTAACAGTTGGGGCTGCTTCCACATGGCAACAATTCTCTGTGTAACTCTTGTTACTATTGTGAACACAAAGGCATTTGCAGCAGCAATGGAGCATCCACATGGCAATTTTCCCTACACTTTTCTTGCCCGCCTACTGTGGCTACCGTTTTCCTCTCAGCCCACCCCACCCCACCATCAGGCTATTTTGGGGCTTTAAACATGGTAATTGCTCAATCACTATAATGATGTATTGACATGATCTATTAGTTCCTGGAAAGAAAAATGAAAGCTGGAAATTCAGAAGAACTGGTAGATCATGGTAACATAATGTCATAACATTATACTGATCTAGCAATAACTGATTATTTTTAAAAAGCAACCAAATAGTCCAATGGTAACACAGTGGGGAATTTTTATTTTTAGTATTTTTAAATTTCAGTTTACAAAGACACAAACGTAAAACATAAACTGCTATCATCTACAATCATTTAAATCACAGATCTACAATTATCTACAATTATAAACATCTATAATCATCTAGATCATACATAAAACATAAACACAGTTATCTGAATCAGTCAAAAATAAGCTACAATCACCTAAGCCATACAATTATCACAATCAAATCATATATCTCATATAGAACTTCCTTATGTATACTCTAGATTTTTTTACTTCTGTTGAGATATCGTTATTCTATCTTTACCAGCTATCTAATAATAATTTTATTACAAACATATATTGCCAAACTCTTTTTAACATTTTCTATTTATTCTTGACTTTCAGCTACATAACTGAAAAATACTTTCCATTTTTCTTGAAATTCCGAGATTGGTCTATTGTGTATATAAGATGTTAATTTTGCCATTGTTGCATAGTCATTTAATTTATTCTTCCATTCCTTCAGATCAGGACAACTTTCTGCTTTCCATTTTGCCACAAATATTACTCTTGTCACCATCACCATATACTGAAATATTTCACTGTGTATTTTTGTAATATTGCTTGGTAAAATATTTAATAACATAGTTTTGGGATCCATCACAAAGTTGAATTTTAATATCTTTTGCATTTCTTCATGTACTTCTATCCAATATTTTCTTGCTTGCAAGTCCACCACATATGGAAGAAAGTTGCATCTGTATTCTGACATTTCCAGCACGTCCCATTATATACTTTATTAGTTTTTGCAATATCTTTGGGAGTAACGTACCATCTAAAAACATGTTATACCAGTTCTCCCTTAATATTTGACATCCAGTAAGTTTT